GGGGTCCCTGCGAGATCTTCGACCTCCCGATACATGGTAGCAGAATGCTGCGGCACATTTTGCAACATAGACTATGGCGAAGCTGGGTGGCAGGCAGGAAGTGCCAGGGCAGACGCGGCAGGGAAGAGAACTGGGCCAAAGACGACGGGCACCGCGCCGCATGCGCCCTTCTGCCAGTGGTAAGGCGACAAAAGCTCACGCTTGGTCTAACACTTATCTTCGCCAACGCGACATGTTCATGCAAGCCGAGTAAACTTCAATACAGAAAGAATCACTGCCATAACAGAAATGTCGGCCAAAATTTTCGGAGGTCCTTGCCAAGGGCGCTGCCAGAGGCGCCGCCAGGGTGCCAGCACCGATCCGAGAACTTCGGGCAGACTTCAGACCATGTATGCTTATTTGACTCCTTCCCCAAACCCCCGACGTCATGATTTCTTCATTGCGTCGGCCCCCAGAGGTCTGGACCCATTCCCAGGGACCGGCTTCTCATGCTGAGTCGGTTCTTGACGGTCCTGAGGCCCAGTAAGGGCCCCCAAACGTCGAAAAATTGCGAAAACCCTCCCGTCGTGACTTTTTCATTACTCGAGGGGGTCTGGGTCTCCTTCGATGCTGCTTGCTGCACCTGTTCAGAGCGATTCCCAAGACATCCGGCGCTCCAACTTCTTCGACTACCCGAAGGCCAAGCTTTCATCCCGAGTCGTTTCTTCACGGTCCCAGGGCCCGTGGAGGGCCCCCAGAGGCTTAGGCGCGAATCAATCAGGGGGGGGCGATGAGTTGGGGAGGGGAGAAAGGTGCCCTTAGCGGGCCCTGCAGGCCAACTTTGGGGCCCTAGCAGCCCTCGCTGCCCGCCCCCCCCCCTTTCTCGCCCATCCCTTACGCGTCCTCCGAGAGGCCGACAACTTACACAAACCAGTCGCTCCATTTTTCGGCGCCTCGGATCTTTGGGTCTGTCTGGGGAATATGTTCTTCCCAGTTGATAAACAATGAAAATGCCTCTAACCCTTTGGGGGGAAGCTAAGCTAGAAGGGCCAGACACAATAGAAACATGGGGCCTTCTTCTGCAGACATCTCGAGCCACACCGCCCGTTTTGCTTGTATCCCTAATGCGCACACGGGGGCCTAAGCGAGGCCAAGCCTTCACATCGTGCTCCTGAAGTTAAGGGCCCCCTTCTGCTCTCGAGGAGCCACCGATGCGATCTTTGCTCGAGCCCTCGGACCTCTTTGCGATTTGTTGCGCGATGTTTGCTCGAGCCCTCGAATCAGGGCAAATCCGTATCATACGCTGCTGGCAGTTCTCCCTCGCACCACGCTGGACCAAAGCAGCGGGCGTGGAACACCCGAGGCGCTGCGGCAGCACATCCTATTTTCACACGCATGTGCTACTCTTCTTTGCCAATGTCAGGGGGACGTAAGACCTGGGTACAGGGGACTCGGAAATCCCCGACGAGGTCGTCAAAAAAATGACGAGGCCGAACCTGCATTTTGACGAGGCCTCCCGCTGCAGACATCCCACGAAACTCCTCCTCGTCAAAATCCGAGGCGCGGTCGTCAAAAAACGATGGCGAACCCGAGTCCTGGCAAACCCCGACAATGCGCCGTCTAGGCGCGGCTTCTGTCTGCCTGTCTGTCCTCGGACCTCTGGGCCTGCCTGGGAGCACCCGCTCCTGCCCAGCGCGCGGCACGGGCCGGGTGCGCGGCGCCCGCAGGCACGCCGCACCTCTCCGGTGCACACACGGCCCGCCGCGTACTCTTTCCGGCTTCGGCGGGGGTTTCAGCGGGGGGCCACGACAGCGAGGCGTCTTCGGTGGCGCCTCCCTGGGGAAGCCAGGAAGTGCCAATACACCGCGGTTCCCCAAACCTCTCCAGGGGCGCACACGGCCCGCCGCGTGCTCTCTCCGGCTTCGGCGGGGGGCAGGGAGCCACGACAGCGAGGCGTCGTCGGTGGCGCCTCCCTGGGGGAAGCCAGAGAGAACTCCAGATTTCGTAGTAAAAGGGAGGGGGTCTGGACCCTCCAAGACAAGCCACTTCAGACCTCCCCCGTGGGAGAACCCTCCAAAACGTCGTCCCCAGACCCCCCAGGCCCTCCAAGATAGCCTGGAAGAGACCCCCCCCCCGAAATGAGACCCCCCTCCCTTTATTGCGAAATCTGGAGTACAAATTATACCGCGGTTCCCCAAACCTCTCCAGGGGCGCGCCCTGACCAGGACTTCGAGGCGAAAGTCCAGCGGTGGCGACGGGGGCCTCCTGAGAGGCCCAAAGAAGGGAAAGGGAGGAGGAGGAAGAGGAGGAATGAGGAGGAGGAGGAGGAGGAGGAGGAGGAAAAGGAGGAGGAAAAGGAGGAGGAGGAAGAGGAGGAGGAATGATGAGGAGGAGGACGCAGGACACAGCCTCACGAAACCGCTTCTGAGCTAAAGCGAAGTACGACTCACAAGGTAACTGGTGCTGCGTGCGAGGTCAGACCACCATCACACGCCAGAGAGACCCAACGAATTAGGCTAAACCTTAGCTCCAGTTGCTGGGTGCCGCCCGTCGACGAGCCAGTCCCTGGCACTACGACGGGGGCGCGAGGGGCAGACATCCCCAAGTGCATGATTAGATTTGGGGAGGACCGATGGCCACACGAGCCCCACACCGAACACAAAATCTGCCGACCCTGTCGGCGTGTGTGGGGTGTCTGTCCGGTCTCGTCGACGGGGAGCCTTCTTTCGTCCCCTCCTTCCCATCCTCCTCTCGCGTCGGAGGGGAGAGAGAGAGAGAGAGAGCACCCTTCCTCGTTCGGGGAACGATTTCGCAGCTTGAGGGAATTCCATCCACGTCCTCATTGCGTCAAGGGGAAGCCTCTTCCCTTTGCCCCTTCCCCGGCGGGGGGGGGTCCCTCGGGGGGTCAGATTCGCATAGCCTCTGGGAGTCCTCCTCTCCCACGCCGGTCTCTCTCCGGCGCGCCAGTCCTCCTCGGGTCCTCCTCCCCAGGTGGGGAGGGGTCCCAGAGGGGGGCAGGGGAGTCAGATATGCATCCGTCCCTGGGGGTCCTCCTCCCCCTCCCCTCCCCTCTCCCGCACCAGTCCTCCTCCGGTCCTCCTCCCCGGGGGGGGGTCAGGGGAGAGTCCTTTCCCTCCTCCTTCTCCTCCTTCTCCTCCTCCTCCTCCTCCTCCTCCTCCTTATCTCCATCTCCATCTCCTCCTCCTCCTCCTCCTCCTCCTCCTCCTCCTCCTCCTCCTCCTCCTCCTCCTCCTCCTCCTCCTCCTCCTCCTCCTCCCCCTCCTGGTCGTCGACGATGTCTTTCAGGGTCGGCGGCACCGGCCGTCAGGCCTTCACAATACATGTGGCCCCGAACGCTGGACCTTATGGTCATCACATTCGAAGAGGGTCCCAGTCCCCACCACCCAGTCGGCAGCAGCAGCAGCATCCCCCGCAGCCTCCCTGCCTCCTTGGGCACGCAAGCCGAGCTGCTCAACAGCTAGGGCGAGAGCCTGAAGCATGGGCGACGGGTCACACTTGGCCCCTGGCTTCAAAACCGTCTTCACACTGGTAGGGGACCGAGCCACGGCCAAAACAACGCATGAATTGCAACGCGGACGAACCAGGGGCCAGGGGGACGGGGCCATGGGCGATGAGGACGAGCTCATCGCGCCTCTCCGGCACCAGCTTGGGCGGAGGAAGGTCCGAGCCCTGAGCCTCAGGACGAGCACAAAATTAACTGCGCCGCCCTCGACGGGGAGGAGGAGGAGGAGGAGGAGGAGGAGGAGGAGGAGGAGGAGGAGGAGGAGGAGTTGGAGGAGGAGGAGGAGGAGGAGGAGGAGGAGGAGGTCGGAGAGGAGGCTTGGGAAGCTGCCCAGAGGGGCGGAGGCCTCTCCCGAGCCATGCGAGACGGCCGGCCCCCTCTGCCTCGCGTGAAGTCGAGCGCGTCCTCCTACAGGCGGGGGCTTCGAGCGAACAAGAACGGATAGCCAACAAATACTCCAAACAACACCCAAACATAGTATAGACAAAGCGTCCCCAGCAGACGAAGTTTTGGACTAGTTTGGGATAGCCTCCTGTAGAGAGACACGCCCGCCGTAAGCCTTGCGCCCTGGGCACGCCGCCGAGAGGAAGGAGGACATGGGAGGGGCATGGGTAATCGAGGTAGGCCTCTAGTTTTGAGGGACCCCCGCCTGTGTCTCTCGGGGGGGGATTGAGCTCCACCCCTCCTCCTCCTCCTCCTCCTCCTCCTCCTCCTCCTCCTCCTCCTCCTCCTCCTCCTCCTCCTCCTCCTCCTGCTCCGCCTCCTGTTATCCTTCCCCCCTCCTCCTCTGTCGTTGCTGCGCGGCGGGTGCCGCGGAGAAGTAGTTATTTTCCACTGTTGGTGGGACCCCAGTCCGTCCACAAGGGCGTCGAAAGGAGATTTAGTTCCACTACTGGGGGGTTCTGAAAACTTACGTCGGTTACCGCAAGAAGCGGTGTAGAGCATAAGATCTCCAACATGCTGTGATGGACGATCGGGCAAGAAGCAGGAGGAAGAGGCGGAGCAGGTGGTAAAGGAAGGGGGAAGACTAGATGGCAACTCCTGGGAGGTCTTCGTAAGAGCGATGAAGGGGTACGAAGCCCGATTGAGGGGCCATTAACGCCGCATAAGCGCAGGCTCAACCTACTATCGATTCGCATTCAGGGGGACGTCGCGGAATGAAACGAGGTTGCGCCGGACGAGGCCGGTTGTCGACCACGGATGCACCAGCGCCGATGCCGACTCTGATCTCCCAAGGCTCGGGGAGACGTAACGACTCGGGTACGCGAGACTCGGGTTGGCCTGACGCTTGCCATCGTGAACGTGACGAGACACACTCTGAACTTTGACGCGAACTCCCGCTGCAAACGTCCCGCGAAAACTGGGCCGTCAAAATCCAGGACGGGCTCGTCAGATGGCGTCGGCAAAGCCGAGCGCCGGCGTACTCGAGCCTCACGCTCCCCGACGGGAGCTGGGGGAAGGGGAGCCCCTGCAGGGCTCTGCTGCCCCAGCAGCTGGCCTCGGCCTTCTCGATGTCCTGCACCTCGACCTGCGGTCTCCGGGAAGCTTCGACAGGGCCACAGCCGGCTCCGGGCCGCCGATGAACCATCCCAGATGTACCCTCTCGTGGGGCGTGCCAGTGTCAGAGGCATGGACATGGGCACTGACACCAACACAGGAGATTGTCTCCACCAGGGGAAGATGATCCCAGATGTTGGTGTTGGTGGTAATCTTTCGGCAACCTATGAGGCCAGAATGTCAAACCATCACCGAGATCGGGAGCATCTTCCCTCGGTGGAGGCACCCCATCGATACTGGTGTTAGTCTCAACCTCTAGGCCTCCGACAATGCTTCCAGCCGCGCTTCCGCATCTCGCCCTCTTTCCCTCCCACTCATTGCTCCTCTCTGCGTGTCTCTCGCTACAACGATTTCGGGGGCGACTCCAGCCGACGTGCTGTTGTACGTAGCCTGTGTCGGCAAGTCCCTGCTGACCAGGGTGGCCCACGGTCAGCCGAAACACGGAGGCTCAGCTGAGTTGTGCCCTGATGAGTGCTGAGCTTGTACTCTTGGTGTCGGTGTCTCTCCTCCGGTGTTCTCTACCAGCATTGCGACATCCCAAATTGCCACTCCATTTTTCTTTGGTTAGTCTGCGAGCTCCGCAGCGATAGCGCGGGACAGGCCGTCAAGAGCCCTCATGCCCCGCGCGCGCGCTCGAGAAGCCGCGCTCCTCGTGGCGCGTGCCTCGGACCCCCCCGTCTCGCGGTGCCAGCCCTGACCTCGCAGGCCGCCGCGCGTGGCACGGGCCGCGGGACTGCGCACCATTAGAGGCCAACCACTGTTAGTCCTTCCCTCGCTACCCCTATGAATCGCTCCCACTCTTCCCCGACCTGGACCACGCCACACTTACCGATCGCCCCGATCGGCTCACTCCGCAGCTCGTCTGACGACAGCGCCAGCGCCACAATCGCACATTCGATCGACCTCTCCTTCCTCGGTCGACAGTACCAGAGCTGCGCGACACAGACAAGATGCTCTCGTGCCACATCAGAGTAACGGACTTCACCTCGCAAGATGATGTCTCAAGTCGCACACGTGCTCAACACGAGAGCGGCTTGACGCACTTCCTCTGGAGGTCGGTTGGCTCCGAGCCGCGCCAACAGTCAGGCTGGATCTGGAGCGAGCAAGCGTCGATGCGTGTATCCCAGAAATGCGACGTCCAAATGTTTTCAGAACGCGGTCCCAGGAGATCCCGATCCTTTCCTCAAAACCGGCTGCTTTTGGACGCCCGAAATGGGTACGGAAAAAATGAGCACAATGCCCAACAACAAATGTTGTCCAAGACCGACAGCGGCCGCTGTTGGGCAGGCGGCTTTCTGTCTTTAGTGAACAACGTACGCGGCGGCGCGGACAGCGAGTCCTGTTCAAAATAAACAAGAACCGCTGTTGGGCATCGTACCCATTCTTTCCGTAACCAGTTCGATCGTCCCGATTTCTCCTCCTGAATCGACTCTTCACGGTCCCGGGGCCCAGCGAGGGCCCCGAGAGGCCGAACACCACGGAAGAACTCCCGTCCTGAGTTTCTCCCAATCATCCTGTGGTGTTGGGTCCTCGTTTTGAAGAGACGTCGCCCCGCGTTCCTCTCCTCCTCTCCTCCTCCTCCTCCTCCTCCTCCTCCTCATCCCCCTTCCTCTCTCCTCCCGTCATCATCATCCTCATCATCATCCTCATCATCATCATCATCAGCATCATCATCATCAGCAGCATCAGCATCAGCATCAGCATCATCGTCATCGTCATCGTCAGCATCATCATCAGCAGCATCATCATCATCATCATCAGCATCATCATCATCATCACAATCAGCGTCATCATCATCATCATCATCATCATCAGCATCGTCATCATCATCGTCATCATCATCGTCATCATCATCATCACGACCGTCATCATCACCAGCATCATCACCCATTTCGGCACACCCCTCACACGTTTCGTGGCCACATAGGGAGCTCCACCGAAGGCCACAGTGCCACCGCCCGCATGCGTCCCCCACACCCATTTCGGCACACCCCTCACACGTTTCGTGGCCCCATAGGAAGCTCCACTGAAGGCCCCAGTGCCACCGCCCGCATGCGCCCCCACACCCAGTTCGGCACACCCCTCACACGTTTCGTGGCCTCATAGGGAGTCCCACCGAAGGCCCCAGTGCCACCGCCCGCATGCGTCCCCCACACACACACATTTCGGCACACCCCTCACACGTTTCGTGGCCCCATATGGAGCTCCACCGAAGGCCCCAGTGCCACCGTCCGCAAGCGCCCCCACACACAATTCGGCACAATGCGTCCCCCACACACAATTCGGCACACCCCTCACACGTTTCGTGGCCCCATACGGAGCTCCACCGAAGGCCCCAGTGCCACCGCCCGCGTGCGTCCCCCACACCCATTTCCGCACACCCCTCACACGCTTCGTGGCTTCATAGGGAGCTCCACCGAAGCACCCATTTCGGCACACCCCTCACACGTTTCGTGGCACCATAGGGAGCTCCACCGAAGGCCCCAGTGCCACCGCCCGCATATGTCCAAATCCACGTCGAAACGGCCTCGCGCCCGCGTCGAGCACAAGAAGAACCACAAATTCGGGGGATCGACGAGGTCCCGCGAAGATGCAACGCAAATAATCTGGGGGAACCGACAAATACTACCTCCACCTCTCCCCGGACTCCTCCCAGGAAGAATCCGGCCGTGGCGGCGAAGGCTGCCCAGGAGGCCCAAAGCGAAAACGAAGACACGGGTAGGGGTATCGCGGTATCGGTATCTCCTCCTTTGGAGTACCATGTGGGACCTGCTCTAGAACGGAAACATACCGTAGACGGATCTATCTTTCTCCGATCTTGCACCTCGCCGAACGCAACGGCCACGCTGTCCATAGACGTATCCACCCCGAAGGTGTCTATGGACGTCACGGCACCCAATGCGTCCGAAGACGCTTTGGGCCAGGACGTGAAAGCGCTCTATGGCATCGGCCTCCGATGTTGGTCTTCGAGAAGCGTGCAGGCTTGGCCCTCCAATATCGGGGTATCGTTTTTTCTTCCTCCACCGATACTCGAACATTGGCGATGGCCGCACCTCGAACGAGAAGCATTAGGTAGGGTAGGTAGGGCATGTCCTCCTACAGGCATATTCCAGATTCTGAAGACAAATATGAAACATAATCCCCAAGTGCTCAAAAACAGCCAAAAACATTCGAAGCATCGTCCCCATATTATTTTCTGACCATTCTTGAATATTTCTCCTGTAGAGGGACATGCCCGACGTAGGAGCCGGTTTCTCTCCAGGCAAGTTGACCTGCATAGCGCTCGCCCCCTCTTCAGTCGAATCATACGAGGGTGCGAGTGCCTTTCGACGTGCGTGATCTCCGCACGTCCAGCTGCTTTCGGCTTGCTTCAGGCGCAGGCCCCCCCCCCACCCGTTCATGCAAGTAAACTTGCACGAGTGTACGGTAGGTTCGTGCGGCGTCGGCGCACGCGAAGGCGTCTGACGCCGTCTCGATCGTTAAACCTTGAACCAATCGCGGCCCCGATCGTTCAAGGTTGAATCCTGTCGGGCCCTGTGGCGCTACCATGTCCCTCGGTGCTTCCGCGTCGCTCCACCGTGCGAAATTCAACATTGAACGCCTTCGCCGGCGTCGCCGGCGCCCCATCGCCGCGTGAACCTACCGTTATGTTGCCCCCAGCGTACTTAAAGACCACATCCCAGAAATAATTTCGAGCACCCGGAAAAGTGTCAAAAGAGTGTTGAAAGAGTGTCGAAACAGTGTCGGACGAGTGCCTCCCAGGGCCCGAACACGTGAAAACCCTCGAGTTTTTGGGGGTGCTTTCTTGGTGCTCGAATTTTTGTCTGGTGGCTCAGGCTACAGTAGTTTGGAACATCATAAACCTACCGTTTTTGTTATATATATATATTGTTTTTATTTTTATATATATATATATATAACAAATAAATAAATAAATAAAGAAAAAAAAAAAGGCTCCAGGCGGCGGGGCTGCTCCGGAGCCCTCCGAAGCCTTCCGATGAGAGGCCCGCCGCGGCGTGCCGGCGAGGAGGCCCTTGGGAGGCTGACGCCCGGAGGGGCGGAGGCCTCTCCCGAGCCGCGCGAGGCGGCCCGCCCCCGCTGCCTTGCGCTGGGTTTGCGGATGCCACGACAGTGGACACACGAGCAGTCCTTTCATCGAGTTAGATATGTGTGTTTTGAATGTCGGAGAAGTTTTCTGATGATGATTACACCATGTCTTTTACATGTTTGAAACATGCTTAACGCATGTTGGAGACATCTGGAGATCATCTGGCAACATGCTGCCTCTCCATTGATCGTTCTCCACAACGCTAGGTCGGGCGTGCCCCCCTACAGGCGGGTTTTGAATGAAAAATGCAACATCGTCTGTTAGTTTTTCCCTACCTAGGCTCTGCCTAGAAGGGTTCTTACTCTCTAGCTTAAAGGGGCCAGGCAGTGGAAAGCGCCCCGGGCGGTTCCCCCAGTCCCCGCCCCGCGGTTCCCCCAGTCGCGCCCCCTGGGTTCACCCAGCTTAGCTTAGCTAAGCTTAGCTTAGCCCAGCTTTCTTGGTGCTCGATTGTTTTCCTGGTGGCTCGGGCTACAGTAGTTTGGAACATCATAAACCTACCGTTTTTTCTATACATATATATATATATAACAAAAAACTACAGGCGGCGGGGCTGCTCCGGAGCCCTCCGAAGCCTTCCGATGAGAGGCCCGCCGCGGCGTGCCGGCGAGGAGGCCCTTGGGAGGCCGCCCCGGGGGGGCGGAGGCCTCTCCCGAGCCGCGCGAGGCGGCCCGCCCCCTCTGCCTTGCGCTAGGTTTGCGGATGCCACGACAGTGGACACACGAACAGTCCTTTCATCGAGTTAGACATGTGTGTTTTGAATGTCGGAGAAGTTTTCTGATGATGATTACACCATGGCTTTTACATGTTTGAAACATGCTTAACGCATGTTGGAGACATCTGGAGATCATCTGGCAACATGCTGC